GCTGAGTCGCGGCTCACAGCGCCTGAGTCACGCGAGTCACCGGAAGTTGCCGTGAGTCGCAAATCGTGCTTGCCCTCTCTCTCTCCGGACCGAAGAGCGACGTCTGGGAGATGGGCAGGTCCAGCAGCTGCCTCTTCTCCGCCTCTCTGAGGTTCACCGCCCCCAGCCAGAGGTGTCTGGCCCCGACCTGGGCTGCTGCCATAGAGCGGCCGCCATCGACAGCTAGCGCTTGGCACATGCGCAAGATCGCTGCTGAAGTGGTCCTCGCCTGGGCTAAGGTGTCTCCACTGAGTGCCTGGTCAGAGGAGAGAGACCTATCCAGGGCCCCGGTGATGAAAGCCATGTTGTTCGCCACCGCGACGACCTGAGCCGCATTGGCGTAACATCTGTCATGCATAGCCAGAGACATCCTATCCCGCTCGGAGGGAAGGAGAGGTCTGGTGCTGGGCCACACGGATGAGGAGGGGTGCAGGGCCGCCCGAACCGAGTCCTCGATGTCCGGGACCCCGCCTGTCCAGGACCAGTCCTGCACGTTGCAGTACATGCCATACCCCAAAGCGGGCCTCTTGGCCGCTAGGGGTTTTGGCCACTCACGTGTCGCGTAATGGACGATCGGGTCCATACGCGGGCACAACGTGGGCTGGGCTCTCCTCCTCCCTCGAGTGGTGGCGTAACCAGAGGTGAAGTCCTCCACCCTCTGGTTCGGTTGCGGTGGCAGGGGGGCATCCATGATGGCCGCCGCCGTGGCGTAGAGCCCAGGCATGTGGTCCAGCGGGAAGCGGTCCGGCTCCGGGTTGGACACCACCTCGTCCAGCGTGAGGAGAGAGCCGACCTCCGACACCTCTCCGTCCTCGCAGTCACCCCACTCCGCGGGCACAGGTGGAATGTCGAGGGGGGCCCAGTCAATCTCAGACTCCTCGTCCTTAAAGGAGTCCGGACGGGGCGCTGTAGCGGCGAAGAACGCGCGCCTGCGTTCACTCTCCTCCCTGGGGAGAGCGACACACGAGGCGCAGGTGGCGCTCAACGCCGCATGGCCCGCACCCAGGCACATGAAGCAGCTGGAGTGCTGGTCCTTGCGTTGGAGCTTGCCCCGACAGGTCGAGCAACGACGACGTCCGACGCCGGATGGCGAAGGGGAACTCGGACGTGCATCAGAAGACATCTTTCTTTCTCAGGTAACGAATGTAGATCTCAAACGGCGCCAGAGTGAAAGAGGGGGTGCGGCCTTGTGCAGGGGCATTTATAGAGGAAGGTGGCTGGTGATTGGAGCAAATTATTTTGATCTCTCTGGCGTCTGTGACCTGGGGGTCACGTGATATCCCACTAGCGAAGTCCTAAGGGACGTAGCACCATGACGTAGAATCTCACAAATCTTGAATTTTAATTTGTTAATGAACATTTCTTACTGAGCTTTTATGTTCAAGATAGAGATTTTATACTTGTTCTTTGATGCTAGAGTTAGAGATTTTGTTTATTTTAATTAGTATAGCTGTTGTTCACTTATCTTGTGCTGTGTGATCCTCAGTCCTACTGCTCTGTAACTTGTGATGCAACACTGAAATTTCCCCGCTGCGGATGAATAAAGGATCTCGATTGGTGCCGCTATAGCCGAACACAATTAACCCCAAGAACAACAATGTAGAATAGAAGTAAATCATTATTCTTATTTTTTGAATACATTTGATATTTGGCAGGGCGGATTCAAGAGAGATATTCTAATGACTTTTTTGTTGATACTGGGAAAACTCTGAATTCAGCAGCTTCTCAATTTCATAGAGAAACTTTGCAATGAACTTGAGGGGGTGAATTTTCAGTTTGTTTATTTACACATTCATACACTATAAAAAATAGCAAACATATGCAAAAAAAATAATAATAGTGGGTCGCATTGTTTTCACCGAGCATCGAAGACGACCACTGGAGTATTATGTCAGGAAATATGAAAAGAATGAGAAGACAATACACAGTCACACATCACTAAATATAATCACTGAATTGTTCAATGACAAAAGGATACATCGCTTTGTTCTTTTCTTGTACATGATTCTGTAACCACACTCTCTGCATCGAATAGGGTCTCGAGCCTTGATTTCATTTTCAGTGTGGCATTCTGTTGGAGAGTTGGAGAGAGAGAAAAGTACAGTTGTTTAATCAAAATACAGTGAAATGGCTCAGTTGTCATTACCATTGAAGCATGTAATAAGCATTTTATAGTATCATTTAATGGGTATTTATTAACATTCATGGAAATTGGTCATCCGGATCCCAACAGACCAATGAGTTCTATGTGTTGGTTATCATTGTATGCACTGTGTTGCAGTGATTTATGGCTATACACAAAATAAATGTAGTTTAATTGAGTATAGATCCATAAAAAGAAATTTGCACATTGTCATAATAGCATGCCTACGATAGATGTTGGTCCGATGGCAATGCATTATGATTACACTGAACTAATATCTGTCCATTTGATACACTTTAAAATACTCTATTGACTTTTGATTCTGATCCTCAATGATTTCTCTGGCTGGTCTGAGGGAAACCCGATGGAATCCCCCTCACTCACTGTCACATCGCCAATGAGTCTAATCATTTATTGATATTACCTATCCACTGCACACATAAATAACGTAAAGGAAATCACTATGCATTTCTGGTGTGTGTCCGTGTGTTGTGTTAGGTTATAATAAAAAATGACAGACAGGAAGCAGCAAGTGCGTCTGGGGAAGAATGTCTCGGACTCTCGGTTTATAAATACAGGAGTCCCACAGGGCTGTGTTCTTTCTCCCCTGCTCTTCTCCCTGTACACCAACCACTGCACCTCCAGCCACGACTCTGTGAAGCTGATCAAGTTCGCGGACGACACCACCCTCATTGGACTCATCTCCAACAACGATGAGTCCGCCTACAGGAGGGAGGTGGACCGGCTGGTGTCCTGGTGCAGTGGTAACAACCTGGAGCTGAACGCCCAGAAGACAGTGGAGATGATTGTGGACTTCAGGAAGAGCACTGTCCCCCCGCCCCCACCCTCCGTGATGGACTCCCCCATCACCTCTGTGGAGTCCTTCCGTTTCCTGGGCACCACCATCACCCAGGACCTCAAGTGGGAGCCGACCATCAGCTCCCTCATCAAGAAGGCCCAGCAGAGGATGTACTTCCTGCGGCAGCTCAGGAAAGCCAAGCTGCCTGCACAGATGTTGGTGCAGTTCTACACGGCCATCATCGAGTCCATCCTCACCTCCTCCGTCACCGTGTGGTTCGCTGGAGCCACAGTCAGGGACAAACAGAGACTACAGCGCATTGTGCGCTCTGCAGAGGAAGTGATCGGCCGCAGCCTTCCATCGCTGCAGGACCTGTACGTCGCCCGAGCTCGAGGCCGGGCTGGTTGTATCACAGCCGACCCCTCTCACCCTGCACATGGACTATTCCAACCACTCCCCTCAGGCAGGAGGCTGCGGTCCATCAGGACTAGAACCTCCCGCCACAAGAACAGTTTCTTCCCCTCTGCTGTTGGACTCTTGAACACTTCTTAACCTGTCCCCCCGCCCTTTATAAAGTCACTTTACTGCCCATCATACATCACTTTACTTCACTGTACTGCTGTCACCTTACATTGTGTGCACCATGTGCACTTGTATATTGTAAATAGTAACTGTAACTCTATTTTAAATTTAAATTTATTCTTTAGAAGTGTTTTTTTATTCTTATTTTTATTATCTCTTTTTGACTGTTGCACTGAGCCAAAGCAATTTCCTAGTCTGTGACCTCCTGTTACTTACGTGGCAATAAAAATGATTCTGATTCTGATTCTGAAATAAAAACAATTTAAAAACAAAATACTATTTAAAAGTCAAATATCTTACCACCGCAAATGTAGATCATAGGCTGCTGCTTTGGAGGTTGGACATCTTTCGGGGTGTCCATTTTTACGCTGATGAAAAGGATAATAATAATTTCACATCGTTGATGTCAAAAGACAAAAGCGTAGCAGAAGCAAAGCTCTAATGTCCACATGAATCTGGTTTTATTCTATATAAACCAGGCAACACATAGTTTACATGTAATAAACAGAGCAATAGAACACCAGTGCTCGAAAAAATGCTTTCTTACCGTTTTAGATGTGTTAGCAGTTAGCTGTTTACTCTCTAGAATCTCATGGGTTTCGCACATGCGCACAACACACAGCCACATCCCAACAAAACGGGTTGTGATTGGCCACAGATTTCTATTCGTAAAAATAAGTAACTCCTTTATCAACTTGCATAATAGGTGTGCAACTTATACATCAGACTAATTTCCTGCGTATATTGTAACATACATTTTATCATTGTGGTTACTAATCCTTAGTTAGTTATGGATAATCCTAACCCTAACGTAAAAGTGCTCCAGAGTTTGATTTATTTTAATTCTATTTTATCATCTTTTTACTTATTATTTTTATTATTTTAATGTTATAATATAATATATACTATCTTAAATAATAGACCCTGTTTGATGTGTGCAATCTGGGTGCTCTTATTTTATCCTTTATTCTCTCTTTGGTCTCTCTCTCTCTGGCCTCGCTCTCTCTTGTCTCTCTCTCTCTCTGTTCTCTCTCTCTGGTCTTTCTCTCTGTTGTCTCTGTGGTCTCTCTCTGGTCTCTTTCTCTGGTCTCCCTCTGGTCTTTCTCTCATTCTTTTTCTGTTCCCGGTTTTGGCAGTTCACATAATTTTCATCTATGCTGCATTTTGTACTGTTTTTATTCTTTCATCTGAACCTTATTAAAAACTGAAGTAATGCAAACTATAATAGGATAAAATAAAAAGTAAAATATAATTGTATCTTATCCCACTCCAGGCCTCTGGGGGGCGCTGTTGCACGCCATCTGTAAGGCGCTCAGCTGGCTTCACTTTTTGACAACACAACAGGACTGTGTCGACAATGCCCACGTCCTGAACACGGGCCTAAAGCAACACAATTCTTCTATCTTGTTGAATTTACTTCATTTTACAATTTCAATAATGGAGTCCAACGCGCCTAAAAGGTAAGCGTTGGTTTATTTAACTTTAAAACCATGTGGTCCAAATTGTGAACTTGGCGAGCTAGCTATCAATGCTAATGTAGCTGCTCGGCTAAGTGCGTTATTTAACACAACACTAGTATCTACAAACAGCTGAGTGTGTCATAACGCGTCAGGTCAATATCTGCATGTTTTACCTGTGTTTATTTGCATTGTTTGTATTTTATACCGGTGTACAGTTTAAGCTTGTCAATGTATTGCTGCTAATGTAATGTATTTTCTATCAAACAAAGTAATGTGTAAAAATATACACTTTGTTCTGCTACATTGATTGTTTAACCTCCTTCTCTCTTGCTTCATATTTGACAGCAAACTGAAAAAGCTTAGCGAGGACAGTTTGACCAAACAACCAGAAGAAGTGTTTGATGTTTTAGAGAAATTAGGCGAAGGGTGAGTCTTAAGGAAACTTTATTATTGTGTGCTTGACCAAATGGTTATTGTATTGTCCAATTTAATGTTGTTATGTTTCTGTTTGTTCCTGTCATTAGTTCATATGGCAGCGTAAATAAGGCGATACACAAAGAGTCAGGCCAAGTTGTGGCCATCAAACAAGTTCCTGTGGAGTCTGATCTGCAGGAGATTATCAAGGAGATTTCAATAATGCAGCAGTGTGACAGGTAGTACACCTGTAATTATAGACTAACAAAAAAATATTGTTTTTTCTTAATGTGATATTGACTCTTATTGAAATGTGCATCTTGTGCTAGTCCCTATGTGGTCAAATACTATGGAAGCTACTTCAAGAACACAGATCTGTGGATTGTGATGGAGTATTGTGGCGCTGGATCCGTTTCTGACATCATCAGACTCCGCAGCAAAACGGTTTGTGTTTTAACGTTGTTACAGTTACTATTCTAAAGATCCTGGGTACATATAATTTTTACTAATATGTTTACTTTAATGTTTTAGCTGACGGAGGATGAGATTGCCACTATCCTGAAATCAACTCTGAAAGGTCTTGAATATCTTCACTTCATGAGAAAGATTCATCGAGACATAAAGGCTGGAAACATTCTCCTCAACACAGAGGGACATGCCAAATTGGCCGATTTTGGAGTGGCCGGACAACTAACGGTAATAAATATTAAGAATGAACATCACATTGTATTTTGAAATCATCACTCAATGCTTATTTTTTGTACTTGCTTGTTAAAAGGATACGATGGCAAAGAGGAATACTGTTATAGGAACACCGTTTTGGATGGCCCCTGAAGTTATTCAAGAAATTGGCTACAATTGTGTGGCAGATATCTGGTCCTTGGGAATCACAGCTATAGAAATGGCTGAGGGCAAGCCTCCATATGCAGATATTCATCCAATGAGGGTTGGTATACAGCTCACGGAAATAAACGAAAATATTTATGATGTTTATTCATATTTGTTTTCTGTACAGGCAATATTTATGATCCCCTCAAACCCGCCTCCGACATTTAGAAAACCCGAGCTTTGGACGGATGAGTTTACCGACTTTGTGAAGAAATGTCTCGTGAAGAATCCAGAGCATAGAGCAACAGCTACACAACTTTTACAGGTTTGTTTTACATGATTACTGTATCTAAATAAATACGTACAGTTCTTTATAAATGTTTTGATGCTGATCAGTTACAGACTGTGCAACGAGAACTGCTGAGTCTGTACAAGAGTCTCTCACCTGTTCTTATAATAATTCATTAGTCACATACTAGTCACTTCAACTACCATATCCATTCATCTGATATTTCTATCAATCACTAGTCACTTTACCTGCTGCTATTACTACAATTGTTTATTCTGGTCATATTTTCTGCTGCTAAAGTACAATATATACTACATCTGTAAATATCGCCAAACCAAGTGCAATTATAGCTCCAGAGTTGTATTTTATTCTAATTTATTATCTTTTTACTTATCATTTTAATGTTGTTATCTATTATCTTGTACAATAGACCCTGTTTAATGTGTGGAATCTGAGTGCTCTGATTTCCGTCTTATTTTCTCGGCCATAATGTGCGCAACAACGGCATTGAAATTTCCCTTTTGTGGGACGAATAAAGCAATATCTCATCTTATCTAATTGTTCTTTGAATTTCCAGCATCCATTCATCACTCAGGCTAAACCAGTTACCATTTTGAGAGATCTGATCACCGAGGCTATGGAGATGAAGGCAAAGAAGCAACAAGAGCAGCAACGAGAACTGGAGGAGGATGATGACAACTCTGTAAATATTCAACCGACAATCGCCCCATTGTTCCCCGCCTCAGCGACATGTGTGACCAGAGCCGTTTGTGTTTCAGGAGGAAGAGACCGAGGTGGACTCTCACACAATGGTGAAGTCTGGCACAGATGGACCAGGGACAATGCGAGCGACCAGCACCATGAGCGACGGGGCTCAGACCATGATAGAACACGGTAGTACCATGTTGGAGTCAGACCTGGGAACCATGGTGATCAACAGTGATGACGAAGAGGACGATGATGACCAAGGATCAATGAGAAGTGAGTCTGCTGTGCTTGTTTGATTCTTCTATACCTGCCTTAGGACCATGGATGGCAATTTCACTAAATCCACCATATTTATTTTGAAGCTGTTTGTTGAGACATCGATTACTGTAATATAGACCGTGTTTATTCAAATAAATGAACCAAAAATAAATACATATGAACTCAATAATTACATTTAATTACATTTACATCGCAATCCCACACAGCAAGAAGGTCACATGTCCTCTCTGTGTGGAGTTTGCATGTAGCCACGGTTGCCTTGGGGTAGAATGATTGAAGTGAGGCTGTTAATCTGCGGCAGCCACCACCACCACCAACTATCATTTACACGGAGACCAGGGTCATATTATAACTGTAATAGGCATTATAACAATATAAAACCACTCCACATTTTTTGTTTGATGATTCTTTAATTTTTATCTATACACCACAAACCACATGTTTGTTTTATTAAAACGTCTTGGATCAATGTTGAGATTTGTGTTTAAAATGTGTATTCATGATGCAAACCATAAGTGTTATATTTCATAATATTATAGAACACAGTGTATCGTTTTTTAGTAAAAGAGTAGCAAGGTATGTAGGTATGCAATAGTTGGAGTTATTAAACTGTAATTTCTGTGCTAACAACCATGTTATTTTTCCCTTTAGGACATGCAACATCCCAGCAGCCCATCCGTCCTTCCTTCATGGACTATTTTGACAAACAAGACTCAAATAAGGCCTCACAGCAGCAGGAAAACTACAACCACAACCAGCCTCAGGAGCAGCCTGGGTACCACATCCAGTCTAAAAATGTCTTTCCAGACAACTGGAAGGTCCCACAAGATGGAGATTTTGACTTTGTGAGTAGCTTATTTCTGAGTATTACTTGTCTGTGTGGTTTCAGTCAATGTAGCGAGCACACCATGATACTATTTCTTGTTTTATAGTTGAAAAATCTAGACTTTGATGAGCTGCAGATGCGCCTCAGTGCCTTGGATCCAATGATGGAGAGAGAAATCGAGGAGTTACGTCAGCGCTACACTGCAAAAAGACAACCCATTTTGGACGCCATGGATGCCAAGAAACGGCGACAGCAAAACTTCTGAGGTCTACATCGTTCTCCCTTAGATAATCTAATAACTATTACTTAAGTATAATGCTGAAGACCACTGCTGTTTCTACCACAGGACCACTACTCGCAGATAAAGTAATGTCTGTTACACATAGGACTCTACCTTTGGCCTTCTAACCTTCATAGTAATTATCCTCAGGACTGTAGCCAAAGCAGAAATCTACTCACTTTTCATGATTACTGGGTAGGATTATTGTCAACCCATGAAGGACTACCAGCACTTCCAGGCCTGTGTTTCATCCACAGCAAAACAGCAATCTGGAGAAAGCACGCGACTCTCCTTCAACCGTGTTAATGTACTGTACATATAAACTAAGCTTAGTTTGAAAAGTACCTGTAACAAAAGCTGTGGCAGCTTTGCCCCTGACCAAAGACAATCATATTGATTGTTGTTGAGAATGCCTTAAACATTTGAAACAAGTGTTTCGAAGAAGAAATGTATCATAATTGGTTGAAGCAATTTTAACTTGTGTTTGTGCTAGACTTTAGACGGCTGCAAACGAGCAGAGGGTTACGATGGAACGAACAATGCATGTTTCAAGATGTTTGTGAACCAGATAACGTTGTATTTTTATAGGTTATTATGGGTTTGATGTTTTAGTTGTATTATTCTCTTCCTATCAGTTCAAACATTGTCCCTCATGGAATACATCTACACTTCTGGGAACAAATAGAAGCGCCATCCTCAATATTAATAAACACAGAATTGATCATTTTCTTCCATTCATTCCACTTTAGTTTCACAATCATTCCTAAAGAGCTGAACACAAAACTAGTTACTGTTCGACTTGATGTCACTGATGAAGCAGCGTCAATTTTTATTTTTTTAATTAGTGAAGGAAAAATTGCAACGTTATTGTGACCCTTTGAATGAATCATGACTATCGCTACAGAGAACCTGCTGTGATCAATATGAATGTCATCATCATTGAAAACTGTATTTGGCTTACACTTCCAATCATGTCACTGTTCTTGGATTCTAATTACAAAAATATGCAAACACTCACTTTATTATTAATATATTGTTTATTTTTTACTGATTCAAATCTGGCTGTGTGTATATAGCTTGATTTATGTCCATTAAGACCTATGCATGTTTACTTATTTGAATGAATGGTTTTAACTTATGTAAAAGTTCTGTTACACTGAAGTCGTTTCCAGCTTCAACTAAACTATGACACTGTACAGTAAATTCTGCCGTGTTGTGTAAAATCAGTTTAATATCACTTCATGATTTTGACTTTTAACTATTTTTCTTAAATGTACTGAGAATGTAGAGTGGAGTCATTCATGTTTGAGCCACTTAATTTATTACTTTTGTTTGTAATACAGTTTTGGAAATTGCACCGTATTAATAAAAGTTCTTTATTCACCAATGTTCTCTGGATCTTTTCAACAACAGTATTTGCAGAATTAATACTTAATACTCGCACATGTATGATACGCTTTTTTGGGAATAGCTTATTATTCGTTCAACACGGTGGTGAACTACTACAGCCTCCACCGATCATTCACACACACCACACTACTTAAAAGCTGTTCGATAAAAGTGGGTTTAACGGTTTTAAACTTAACGCTGTACTGTACTACTGTTAATTATTTTGACTTTGTATTATAAAGTTTTTCTTGATTGTAAGTAAGTAAGTAAACTTTATATGGCGCCCTTCACAGACCAGGGTCACAAAGCGCTTCACAAAGTATAAAAACAGACGTATAAAATAGACATACACATTTTTAAAGGCCAAGACAACCATGTAAAAATCAGCCAGACAGAATTATGCAAAAGCCTGAACAAATAAATGGGTTTTCAGTTGACTTTTGAAGCACTAAACAGACTATAGAACGCAGAGAGAACGGGAGAACGTTCCAAAGCTTGGGATTGTTTTGCTGACTTCAGCGCTTTGTAAACATCCATCCATTTTCTTCCTCTTATTCCATTTCTATTCATTACTGGGCTTACGTCAGCATTGACATATAAATCTCTTCATCTTCCTCCTCATCGGGCATTTTGAACCAGTCCTTATCACTGGCCTTGGTCAGGTTGCCCCTCTTTCTAAAGAGAACGATCCCAGTGGGTGGAGGAGAAGGGGAACTCTCTTCTGGTTCAGAGTTAGGGCTTCAATTACAAGAGACTCTTCTTTCTCTTCTCTCGGGCTCCAGCTCGTTCAAATGAAATGGGGCCGAGAGATGTAAAATATATTTTACCCAAAATGTTAAAAACCTAATAACAGTGAGAGCAACTGACCCAATAATAACAAGACAGTGAATGTCAATTAGAATATTTAATTACAATTAATAAAACCAATGTTAAAATCCAAAAGTGTAACAAATTTGCAACAATAAAAGTCAAAAAGGGAAATCCCAGTTGAGGCACGGCGCGACAAGTCTGGAAGAGGGCTCCTCTGATGCGGCTCCTCCTGCACTCAAACACCAAACCAGGTCCATCATAGTTCTGCTCAGTCTCTGTCAACACTCTTATTTTAGAAGAGAAAGTCACTGGTGCTTCTGTGCCTTGATTTTCCGCTTGTGCTTTTTCTTTGTGGGTGTTGGAGTCTGTGTGTCTTCACGAGGTTTCTCCACAACCTCTGTCTGTTCTTCACCACATGTTGGAAGGTGCTTTGTCTTCCTCTGTTCAGGTTGTTTCAGTTCCTTGGTTAAAATAGGCAAAGGCATATAGGCTCTCTTTAGGTTGTTCAGTCTTGACCTTCCCATTTCAAGGTCTATTGTCAGGTGTGGATCTCGGGCCCCTCTGTGTTTTGGGGGCTCTCACGTCCTTCTGTCTGGGGTTGTGAGGGGTAGGGGCCACATCCAGTGGCCTGTGGTCTTCCATCACAGGAATAACCAGGGCCTTGCTCTGCTCCACTGAGATCATTTAGTGAAATGGCTGTCTCGCCTGCCACTTATGCTTAGCCATTTATTTGGTTTTCACAGCATGGGAAATAATGCATGTCTCTGATTTGTGGACGGACATATATTAAAGTATCTTTGGGGAAGTGGGTTGATGCAAAGTTGATGTACTTGGTTCAACATCAACTTTGCTTTTGTTGGACCAGGGGGATGTCTTTTAGTTTTGGTTGTTTTTTTATGTTTTTGGGGCTAGCGGGGTTGATGCCAGGTAGTATTTATTTACCGCCCGTCATCACCGGAGGGCCCCATTCTGAAGGAGTTATTTTCCTTATTTTTATATATTTGTGGTGTTGGTTCAACATCAACCTTGTTGTGTTTGGTGGTGCTTTGTTCTGAGGAACCTCAGTTTAAGAGCAAAAATGGGGATGGGCATTTGTGTTTTGATTTTGTTGTGTACGTGTGTGTGTTTATGGGCAGTAGCAGGGTTGATGCCAAGTAGTAATTATTTACCGCCGTCATCAACTGTTTACTACTCCCTTTTGGAGACAAGGATGCAATTGTTTAAGCATTAAGACCTGGGGGTCTCAGGTTTGAGGGCTGAGGAAGGATGAAGGAATGGAAGGGGTGGTAGAGTGGGTGGGGTCAGTATTAGCCAATTCTTGTGAGAGCGTCATTCGATTGTCACCCAAATGTGATTATATAGTATAATGGATGTGTTGCCTAGTTTTGGTTTTTTAGATCGGGGAAGGAGGAGGAAAGAGGAGAGGAGAGAAGGGGGAGGGGGTGGGGGATCATTACTGGGCTTACGTCAGCATTGACATATAAATCTCATCATCTTCCTCCTCATCGGGCATTTCGAACCAGTCCTTATCACTGGCCTTGGTCAGGTTGCCCCTCTTTCTAAAGAGAACGATCCCAGTGGATGGTGGAGCAGGGGAACTTTCCTCTGGTTCAGAGTTTGAGGTTAGGGCTTCAATCACAAGAGATTCTTCTTTCTCTTCTCTCGGGCTCCAGCTCGTTCCAAAAACCAAACCAGGTCCATCATAGTTTTGCTCAGACTCTGTCAACGCTCTTATTTTAGAAGAGAAAGTCACTGGTAGTAGATAGTATAGACGGCGGTAGAGAGCAAGTGGTGAAAAGGTGGTACTGCACCCTAAAATCCCCAGAAAAGAGACGGCGCTCTTGAGCAAGTGGTGAAAGGTGTTACTGCACATTGTTTTTCAAAGAGTTTCAATGAGTTAGCTTCTGTTGGCCTGTGTGTGTGTGATAATGTTTCACAGTTGTCTAAAGTGATTTATGATCACGGTGTATTCTAAAACAAGCAGTTAGGTCAATAAACTAATTAATCTACAGGTCCTCCCTGTTAACGACACGTGTGTGTGTCTGATAGTGATGGCGGTTGGGAGGTCGTACTAGCAGCAAATCAGAATGGGTGGGAGGTCTATTACAAGTTTTTCAATGGTTCAAACGCTTTACGACTGTCTAAGAGAAGGTTATGCAATATGTCTAATACAGGTAAGTTATAACATTTTTCAGTATTCATATTAAATGTTTTAATTTAGTTTATCTCTAGGAAAGGGTCGTTTATTGACACATTATAACACCGATGAAGATTTAACTCCAACAGCAAAAGTTACGAGAGGTATACAGCCAACGGATGAAATAAGGTAAGATCTCATTTTCCTTAATGTCTTAATCAGATGTTTAATACTTTTATTTCATTTTATACAGCACAGGTAAATTAAACACCAAGTCAATGCCCCTGATGCATAAATTAAATCAACATAAAGCTCCGTAAGTCGGTACATATACTAACTTTATATAACAAGTTTTATGAGAGGTATATATTTTTTTTTCTAGAGCAATTCTATCACGCCGCAACGGACACAAAATAACTAATCACGGGGATGATGATAAAAGGTGAGTTACATATTATAATTTTATAATGATAGTGGTTATAATTTTCTTCTCACTATTTTAGCTCATCAGAGGGTGACGAAGACACAGAGAATCAGCCCTCAGTAAACCAGGATTTCAACATAATCGATTTTATAGCGACACTCGACATTGATGCCATTATACGCGATGAAGCTATACCAAACAACGATCAAGATGTATTAAACGCAG